CTCCTCCTCCTCCTCCTCCTCCTCCTCCTCCTCCTCTTCCTCCTCCTCCTCCTCCCCCTTCTCCTCCTGGGTGCGCGCCGCCGATCCTTCTTCGTCTTCGAGGCCAGCACCATCGACGTGAAGGCGAAATAGGCGGCCACAAGGGCCGCCAGGTAGAGGACCTCCGCTTATGTTGCTTCCATCGTACTTAAAGGCCACATCACAGAAATAATTTCGAGCACCCAGAAAAATATAGAAAAAAGGTCGAAACTGTGTCGAAACGGTGTTGAAACAATGTCGAACGAGTGTCTCCCAGAGCCCGACACGTGAAAACCCTCAAGTTTCGGTACTCTCTTGGAGCTCGACACTCTTTCTGAAAGTCGGTTGGAACATCATAAACCTCCGCGCCGGCGAAGACGGGCATGGTCGCGAGCCCAGCAGTGCTCATCGAGGCCTCCAGAAGAAGAAAAAGCGGCACGAGCATAAACTTTCGAGCGTCCGCGCGGATGTGTCGGACCTGCGCTGGGCCCCCCTTGCTGGCACGCAGAGCGCGCCAGGGGCGGCGCTGGAGGCTCCGCCAGGGAGGGGGGTCCCAGCGCCGACCCACGAAATCCGCGCGGACCTTCGAGCATCTGGTGTTCGAGCATTTCTTTCTTCCTCGAGCCTCGTCGCCGGGGCTTCCCTTTGGGCCTGGAGGGCCCTTCGGGCCAGGAGGTCCGAAGCCGCCATCTGCTCCCTTCGCGCCGGCGCGGCCACGGCTTCCAGGATCCCCCTGCGGCCCTGGTTCTAGCACAACGGGAGGCGCTGCCTCAGGCGTCGGCGCGGGCACGGGAAGAGGGTCAACTTTCCTGACCAGTCTGGTTGGCGCTGGGATCGGCGCTTGGGTCGGCGCTTGGGTCGGCGCTGGGCAGGTAAGGGCCGCGGCTCTCATCGAGATGTGCCCGAGCCATGTCCAGGCGGAGATGCGGACGTAGCGCGCCAACTCCGAAGACGGGAACATCCCCTTCACCTTCGACGAACGATCCCTGTTGCCCCTGTAAATGCCGCCGGCGGTTTTCCAGGACCTGCCATCCAAGGAGGTGGCCACCTGATAGCTGGTCACCCACTGGTTCCAATTCGCACGACCTTGTGTCACCACGCCGACGACTGTCATTGTTACACCCAGGTCCATCTGCATCCACTGGCCTCGAGCGTTGATTCTGGCGCTCCATGCCTGCGCCGAGTCGAGGGCGGACCGGGCGTGACCAGTCCCAATCCTGTTGTTGCCCCAGACGCTAGAGTACGCCCGCAGAGTCTCTGGCTTGTTCGTCGTAGTACCCGAGCACGAGCCCGAAGAGACAGCACAGAGAAGGGCCGCGGCTCTCATCGAAATGTGTCCAGTCCAGGCCAAAGCGGAGATGCGGACATAGCGCGCCGACACAGGGGATGGGAACTTTCCCTGCACCTTCGTCGAGCGGTCCTTGTTGCCTGTGTAGGTGCCGACGGTTTTCCAGGACCTGCCATCCACGGAGATGGCCACCTGGTAGCTGGTCACCCACTGGTTCCCATTCGCACGACCTTGTGTCACCACGCCGCTGACTTTCATGGTAGACCCCAGGTCCATCTGCATCCACTGGCCTCGAGCGTTGATTCTGGCGCTCCATGCCTGCGCCGAGTCGAGGGCGGACCGGGCGTGACCAGTCCCAATCCTGTTGTTGCCCCAGACGCTAGAGTACGCCCGCAGAGTCTCTGGCTTGTTCAAGGTACTGCACGAGACTGACGAACCAGAGAAGGCGAGTGCCGCGGCCCTCTCACTTCCCGTTCTGGTCATCATCGAAAGCTCCGCATGCTGGTTGACCTCTACGATGAGCCGTTCATTTTCCTTGCCGTCACCGTCGAGAGCTATCGCCGCTTCAACACACTGCAGGAAAGGCGCGAACACATGAAGCAAGACGAATGCTCTGGGCATTGCTCTGTGACGAGAGGCGACGACCCGCGGCACGAGGGCTCGTCCCTCCCGTTTCTTGTAGATGTTGGTTGGCCCAGCAGCTGAGCCCAACTGAGCGCAAACTCCTGCGGAACTAAGGACGGAGAAAACGAGGACATGAAGGGTCAAGAGCAACAGTGACCCCAAAGATCTGCTTCCATGGGCGGACGGGTCGCAGATGAGCGCCAAGAGATGGCCAATGCTGGCACGCGTGATACCCAAATGCGTGTGGAACTCGGTGCGAGCAGAGCCCTGTGTGTGCGAAGCCCTACACCCCCTCCCGAAATCAATCGCAAGCTTTGTACTAACCCCTCGCCCCAAAATTTCAATAATGATGGACGCGCGCAGCGCTGCCCGCGGGAGCAACAATTACGCTACCGAAGAACCCCACATACTGATTTTATGTCTTGTGTGAACCGTGCTACCACTACCACCGCCGACATGCTCTCAGGTGCCCCCTGTGGTCGTTGAAAGGAGGGGGAGGACGTGTGGGGGGAGAGGAGGGGTTGAGGAGTCATCTGTGACGGTCATATCCGGCGTCGCCTGGCACTTGGATACGAGAGGTAATACGCAATCCCGCACTAGAGGCTATGCCTGGACGACCCTGGCACGCATAGGGAGACCACCCCCTGCGCACCCCCTCTGGTGTCGAGAAAATGCCACGCCTGCAATGCCTGGACGACCCTGGCACGCATAGGGAGACCACCCCCTGCGCACCCCCTCTGGTGTCGAGAAAATGCCACGCCACCCCCTGCGCACCCCCTCTGGTGTCGAGAAAATGCCACGCCTGCTATGCCTGGACGACCCTGGCACGCATAGGGAGACCACCCCCTGCGCACCCCCTCTGGTGTCGAGAAAATGCCACGCCTGCAATGCCTGGACGACCCTGGCACGCATAGGGAGACCACCCCCTGCGCACCTCCTCTGGTGTCAGGAAAATGCCACGCCCGCAATGCCTGGACGACCCTGCCACGCATAGGGAGACCACCCCCTGCGCACCCCCTCTGGTGTCGAAAAAATGCCACGCCTGCAATGCCTGGACGACCCTGGCACGCATAGGGAGACCACCCCCTGCGAACCCCCTCTGGTGTCGAGAAAATGCCACGCCTGCTATGCCTGGACGACCCTGGCACGCATAGGGAGACCACCCCCTGCGCACCCCCTCTGGTGTCGAGAAAATGCCACGCCTGCAATGCTTGGACGACCCTGGCGCGCATAGGGAGACCACCCCCTGCGCACCCCCTCTGGTGTCGAGAAAATGCCACGCCTGCAATGCCTGGACGACCCTGGCACGCATAGGGAGACCACCCCCTGCGCACCCCCTCTGGTGTCGAGAAAATGCCACGCCTGCAATGCCTGGACGACCCTGGCACGCATAGGGAGACCACCCCCTGCGCACCCCCTCTGGTGTCGAGAAAATGCCACGCCTGCTATGCATGGACGACCCTGGCACGCATAGGGAGACCACCCCCTGCGCACCCCCTCTGGTGTCGAGAAAATGCCACGCCTGCTATGCCTGGACGACCCTGGCACGCATAGGGAGACCACCCCCTGCGCACCCCCTCTGGTGTCGAGAAAATGCCACGCCTGCAATGCCTGGACGACCCTGGCACGCATAGGGAGACCACCCCCTGCGCACCCCCTCTGGTGTCGAGAAAATGCCACGCCTGCTATGCCTGGACGTCCCTGGCACGCATAGGGAGACCACCCCCTGCGCACCCCCTCTGGTGTCGAGAAAATGCCACGCCTGCTATGCCTGGACGACCCTGGCACGCATAGGGGGACCACCCCCTGCGCACCCCCTCTGGCGTCGAGAAAATGCAACGCCTGCTATGCCTGGACGACCCTGGCACGCATAGGGAGACCACCCCCTGCGCACCCCCTCTGGTGTCGAGAAAATGCCACGCCTGCGATGCCTGGACGACCCTGGCACGCATAGGGAGACCACACCCTGCGCACCCCCTCTGGTGTCGAGAAAATGCCACGCCTGTTATGCCTGGACGGCCCTGGCACGCATAGGGAGACCACCCCCTGCGCACCCCCTCTGGTGTCGTGAAACTGCCACGCCTGCTATGCCTGGACGACCCTGGCACGCATAGGGGAGAACCCACCCCCTGCGCACCCCCTCTGGTGTGAGAAAATGCCACGCCCTGCTATGCCTGGACGACCCTGGCACGCATAGGGAGACCACCCCCTGCGCACCCCCTCTGGTGTCGAGAAAATGCCACGCCTGCGATGCCTGGACGACCCTGGCACGCATAGGGAGACCACACCCTGCGCACCCCCTCTGGTGTCGAGAAAATGCCACGCCTGTTATGCCTGGACGGCCCTGGCACGCATAGGGAGACCACCCCCTGCGCACCCCCTCTGGTGTCGTGAAACTGCCACGCCTGCTATGCTTTGCGACAGTGTCGTGGGTAGCGGCCGCGCTCAGGGACCACCCCCTGCGCACCCCCTCTGGTGTCGAGAAAGTGCCACGCCTGCTAGGCGTTGCGACAGTGACTTTGCGACAGTGTCGTGGATAGCGGGCGAGCTCAGGGACCACCCCCTGCGCACCCCCTCTGGTGTCGAGAAAGTGCCACGCCTGCCAGGCTTTGCGCCAGTGTCGTGGATAGCGGGCGAGCTCAGGGACAACCCCCTGCGCACCCCCTCTAGTGTCGCGAAACTGCCACGCCTGCTAAACTTTGCGACAGTGACGTGGATAGCGGCCGCGCTCAGGGACCACCCCCTGCGCACCCTCTCTGGTGTCGAGAAAGTGCCACGCCTGCTAGGCTTTGCGACAGTGTCGTGGATAACGGCCGCGCTCAGGGACCACCCCCTGCGCACCCCCTACGGTGTCGTGAAACTGCCACGCCTGCTAGGCTTTGCGACAGTGTCGTGGATAGCGGGCGAGCTCAGGGACCACCCCCTGCGCACCCCCTACGGTGTCGAGAAACTGCCACGCCTGCTAGGCTTTGCGACAGTGTCGTGGATAGCGGGCGAGCTCAGGGACCACCCCCTGCGCACCCCCTCTGGTGTCGAGAAAGTGCCACGCCTGCTAGGCTTTGCGACAGTGTCGTGGATAGCGGCCGCGCTCAGGGACCACCCCCTGCGCACCCCCTACGGTGTCGTGAAACTGCCACGCCTGCCAGGCTTTGCGACAGTGTCGTGGATAGCGGGCGCTCAGGGACCACCCCCTGCGCACCCCCTCTGGTGTCGAGAAACTGCCACGCCTGCTAGGCTTTGCGACAGTGTCGTGGATAGCGGGCGAGCTCAGGGACCACCCCCTGCGCACCCCCTCTGGTGTCGAGAAAGTGCCACGCCTGCTAGGCTTTGCGACAGTGTCGTGGATAGCGGCCGCGCTCAGGGACCACCCCCTGCGCACCCCCTCTGGTGTCGAGAAAGTGCCACGCCTGCTAAGCTTTGCGACAGTGTCGTGGATAATGGCCGCGCTCAGGGACCACCCCCTGCGCACCCCCTACGGTGTCGTGAAACTGCCACGCCTGCTAGGCTTTGCGACAATGTCGTGGATAGCGGGCAAGCTCAGGGACCGACCCCTGCGCACCCCCTAAGGTGTCGTGAAACTGCCAGGCCTGCTAGGCTTTGCGACAGTGTCGTGGGCAGCGGGCGAACTCAGGGACCACCCCCTGCGCACCCCCTACGGTGTCGTGAAACTGCCACGCCTGCTAGGCTTTGCGACAGTGTCGTGGATAGCGGCCGCGCTCAGGGACCACCCCCTGCGCACCCCCTCGGTGTCGTGAAACTGCCACGCTGCTAGGCTTTGCGACAGTGTCGTGGATAGCGGGCGAGCTCAGGGACCACCCCCTGCGCACCCCCTACGGTGTCGTGAAACTGCCACGCCTGCTAGGCTTTGCGACAGTGTCGTGGATAGCGGGCGAGCTCAGGGACCACCCCCTGCGCACCCCCTCTGGTGTCAGTGCCCTGCTTGGCTTTGCCGTCGTGGATAGCGGGCGAGTCAGGGGACCACCCCCTGCGCAACGGTGTCGTGAAACCACGCCTGCTAGGCTTTGCGACAGTGACGTGGATAGCGGCCGCGCTCAGGGACCACCCCCTGCGCACCCCCTCTGGTGTCGTGAAACTGCCACGCCTGCTAGGCTTTGCGACAGTGTGGTGGATAGCGGGCGAGCTCAGGGACCACCCCCTGCGCACCCCCTCTGGTGTCGTGAAACTGCCACGCCTGCTAGGCTTTGCGACAGTGTCGTGGATAGCGGGCGAGCTCAGGGACCACCCCCTGCGCACCCCCTACGGTGTCGTGAAACTGCCACGCCTGCTAGGCTTTGCGACAGTGTCGTGGATAGCGGCCGCGCTCTGGGACCACCCCCTGCGCACCCCCTCTGGTGTCGAGAAAGTGCCACGCCTGCTTGGCTTTGCGCCAGTGTCGTGGATAGCGGGCGAGCTCAGGGACCACCCCCTGCGCACCTCCTACGGTGTCGTGAAAATGCCACGCCTGCTAGGCGTTGCGACAGTGTCGTGGATAGCGGGCAAGCTCAGGGACCACCCCCTGCGCACCCCCTCTGGTGTCGAGAAAATTCCACGCCTGCTATGCCTGGACGACCCTGGCACGCATAGGGAGACCCCCCCCTGCGCACCCCGTCTGGTGTCGAGAAAATGCCACGCCTGCAATGCCTGGACGACCCTGGCACGCATAGGAAGACCACCCCCTGCGCACCCCCTCTGGTGTCGAGAAAATGCCACGCCTGCTATGCCTGGACGACCCTGGCACGCATAGGGAGACCACCCCCTGCGCACTCAGCTAAGCTGAGCCGAGCTGTGCTGTGCCGTGCTGTGCTGAGCTGAGCTGAGTGAGGTGAATGAGCGCGGGTGCGGCGCGGCAGGGAAGAGAAGGAGAGGGAGGAGAAGGAGAAGGAGGAGACGCGGGTGAGACGCGGAAGGGAAGAAAACAGAAACCCACGAAGCATGTGGGGAAAAAATACCCCAACCGGTTTCAAACATACAAAACAAACCTCACTATTATTATGTACTCATTTTTTAATATTCCCCCTGTAGAGGGGCAGGCCCGATTTCAGGCCAACGAACAACAACACCAGCCCGCCTCCCTCCCCGCCCGGGTGGAGGAGGACAGGCGGC